AAGAAGAAGAAGCAGAACCAGATGAATCACCACGAGTGGATCCTAGGCTCAAGCTCCGAAGCCTACCTCCTCTGCCTCTCCTATGTCTTACGGGGCATTAAGTGATCTAGAATTGGAACTTTTCTAGGGTTAGGGTTTGGAGATGACATTGTTGAAGAAGGATGAACTAAAGGAGAGAAAAAGCAAAAGTGAATAATAAATTGCTTGTTGAAGGTCTATGAAGAAGAAGACAAAAGAAAGAGGGTTAAATATGTTTATAATGACAACCGTCAAACTTAGAAGTGTAATGACGGAAAGCCTATAATAAAGGCAACTATCACTTAGTGAATAGTGGGAATAAAGAAGCCTTGAAAAAGGGTGCAGAATTGTAGAACCAATCAGAAAGTGACACGTATGTAGAACATTAAATAAAAGGTGACACGTATGCAAAGCATTAATTAAAAGGTACAATTGAAGCGTCAGTACTGTCATAGAATTAATTACGGCAAAAATTCCCTTTTTATGAAGATCCACTTCCCAGATATTTAATTGATAAATAAATGGAAAGTGGGGGGACTATCTGTATTGGGAAAAAACTAAATTTACATTGAAGGTGACGTGGCATGATACGAGGAATGGTCAAAACATGATGATCTGTTAAGAGGCACGAGTGACAATAGATACGGGGAAAGGAAAGCTAAATAGGCACGAGAGGGAATTCGAATAATACAAGCTTCGTACCTATTTAGGTCATTTAAAGCCAAGAGATCAGAAGGCATTGAAGACATGGATATGATGATGAAAAGGAGTCCAAATTCAATATTAAATACCCAATACATTAGAGAATTGGTATTAAATAGGAATGATTGTGTAACGTCTTATTTAATGTCATTTATTGCTCATAATTGTCTCATTAAGACTAAGGTATTACTCCTTTACTTAGAATCAACTATAAAAAGATGAGGTCTCGTCATTTGTAAGGACAGAGGATATCAAAAACATTATATTGGAATACAAACCTATTTACTGCTTATTTGTCATTCTCAAAAAGTCTATTATTTCTTTTTCGTCTCCTGATTATCAGTAGCCCGAATTTCTATTTGTCTTTAGCTTTGACCAAAGAATCACATTTTTGGTTAAACAGCAATATGTCCTCTCTTCTTTTAATATGTCAGAAGGCACCTCCTTTGGAAAATACTTAGGTTTTCCTTTCTTCTTGAAGCGCTCTACTATGCATGATTATCAATTTATCTTAGATAATTCTAAATCATGTGGTTCGCCTTCATATTTTTCGTGGTCTATATCATGCCAGTTATAGCAGTCCTGAGGTTTGGCAGGATGGAAAACTAACTTTATGACCAAGGCGGGCATGACAACTCTCATACAATCAACCCACAATACCTTTCCTAATCATGTAATACAATTTATCACTCTCCCTTTAAACGTTGTCTGCAGAGTAGAGCAATATGAATGCAACTTCCTGTGGGGTACAACTACCAATCATAAAAAAACTCCACTTAATTAAATGGGGTAGTGTTACCACCCCAAAGGACGAGGGGGGATTGGGCATACAAAATCTTTTCACAAAAAATTGTGCACTTCAAGCTAGTACGACCTGGCGTCTCTTTAAATCTCCAAACTCTCTCTGGGACTCTCTTTTTATCACTAGGTATGCGAATCCACGAAAGCCTATTTCTAAACCTTCAAGAATCTGGAGGTTTATCCAATATGGATGGCAGTACTGCCAACGAGGTATACAATGGCAACCTACAAATAGGTCCCACATCCTTTTATGGACTGAACCTTGGCTCCAAGCAAATCTAACTTTACGGTCTCTTATTCATGGACCATTAATAGAATTTGAAACTAAAGCAACTATAGCTTCCTACCGTATACACTCTTGTTGGGATCTTTCTGCCCTATCTTTCGTGCTACCTGATACGGTACTCCAACACATATATAACACTTATTTCCCTACAATTCCATCAATTCATGATCGTATTATTTGGGGCCTTAACAATACCGGCCTATTCTCGGTCAAATCCAGCTACACGTCTCTTTCGAAAAGCACCGCTACTTAAGCACCACTACTCATCTTTTTCGTTGGATTTGGCGCTTGAAATTACCTCCTTAGATCAAACACTTCATATGGTTATTCGTTCACAAATAATGCCTACTGCTTCCTATCTTGCTCACCTAAATCTACTTCAGTCTCCCATCTACAAAACCTGTAACGGAGAAGTAGAAATGATCCATCATATTTTCTTCGTTTGTGCTTCTGTTGCATCCTTTTGGACTTCACTAGGTCTCCACCAAGGAGCTCCTATCCTGCCATATGAAGTTGCCTCTCCTCTTACATATCTTAAGGGGCTCATCCACCAAAATCATATTCAGTACCCCAAACCACTTCCTCCTGCTCTCTTTGTACTATTCTCTTTGTGGCATAGCTGGAATATTCACAACCATAACACGTTTGGTGACATTCATCACTCTATCAGCACTTCTTGTATAATTAATCAAGTTATTGAATATCTTTATTGTGCCCAACTTCTAAGGTTTAGACCCATCTTAATACTCATGCATGTTAAGTGGGAACCCCCAAATCAGAGTTTCTATAAACTCAATTCAGATGAAGCTGCCTGCACTACGATTGGCGCCGCAGGTTATGGAGGAGTCATTCGTGATTCTAATGGCAACTGGATTGTTGGATACACTGGTAGTTCAAAGCACACAACTAGTTTACATATGGAGCTAATGGGTCTTTTACAAGGCCTTCGTTTAGCACACCTTCGCCAACTCACACCTTCGGAAGTAGTTGTTGATGCAAAAGAGGTAACACATTTTCTAAAGGCAGATAACTTATTTTACTCACACATTCTCAATAACTGCAGATCCTCTCTCCACTAGTTGGTTGATCCTCGTGTTACTCATACATATCGGGAGCAAAACCAAGTGGTGGATTCTATGGCAAAGCACGACCTTATGGAATACCGTGGTCCATCAATGCTCGTTTTTTAAGACGCTCCAGTTTTTGTCTTGAAGATACTGCTAGATGATAAACAAGGCTCAACCTATCAGCGCCTACTTAATCCAACTATATTATGCCAATCAAATGATCACAGCTCTTTTTTGTTAATCTCTCATGTATCATCACCTCCTACAAATCATTGTACTCAAACTAGCCTTTTGGCAGTGGACTCACACTTAGATCCACCAAGGGATGGCAATGCTTTTTTGTATACTATAGAAGAACATCCACCCTAGTTAGCTCCTACTATGTAACTACCTTTATGTTATATAATACTAATCTTTCAAGACCAAAAAAAAATTATAGGTTATTAAAACACAAAGATAAGGAAATTTTTTATTTTACTTTCTTGAATCAAAAGTTCTGTACATAGTAGTGTATTTATCCGGTAATAATAAAAGATGGAATCTCTTGAATACTCAAATGCCCATGAGCTGCCCATACTAGTGGATTTGTTTAATTTTGTCTAGTACTATGTACTACTTTTTGTTAAAAATAGTGTCATATTCTTTCTTGCCGTTGGAGGATGTGGAGCATGTGAGAATATTGTCATATTCTGTCCGGTCATTTTCCCTTACTTTATCCACAAACCTATTCAACTTTCCCAATATCCCCCCTCAAGTTGGAGGGGCTCGAAGAGATGCCCAACTTGATAATTATCGAGTGATGAGCAGGCCCATAGAGGGGTTTAGTAAATATATCTGCAAGCTGAGATGAGGATGGGACAAATGAGAGAGAGATGAGTCCGGCTACAAATTGTTGTCGGACAAAATGACAATCGAGCTCAACATGTTTAGTGCGCTCGTGGAACACTGGATTTTTGTGATGTGGATAGCTGCTTGATTGTCGGAGTGAATTGGGATTGGAAGAGATGGTGCTACTGATAGATCCTATAATAGACGTACCAACCAAGTGATTTCAGTGACTACCCGACGCATCGATCGATACTCTGTTTCAGCGGATGAAAGAGAAACTGAGATTTGTTTCTTGGATTTCCAAGATATAGGTGAACCCCCAATATTTATGAAAAACCCGCTTACAAAATAATGAGAATTCGGCATGGTGCCCAATCCGAGTCACAAAAGGCAACTAGGCGAAAAGAGGCCTCAAATGTCATAAAAAGGCATATCCCCGGGTTTCCTAAAAGGTATTTAAGGCATCTGATTGCAGCATCAAAGTGAGGTCTTCGAGGGTCCTGCATGAATTGACTTAGATGTTGCACTGTGAATGATAAATCGGGTCGCGTATGCGTTAAAAATTTTAAATTTCCCAAAATTCTCCGGTATGTAGTTGGATCAGCAAGAGGCTCCCCTGAATTGGCATGGAGTTTGCAGTTAGGGTCGAGTGGAGAAGATACTGGCTTTGAATCAATGCAGTCAAATTCTTGTAGAATATCCAAGGTAAATATTCTCTGATTAAGTATGAGTCTATTTTGTTCTTTGATTATCTCCATACCGAGAAAATAATGTGCATGGCCTAGATCCTTAATTCTAAACTCATGATTAAGAAACTCCTTTAGTCTGCTAAACTCATCAATATCATCCCCAGTAAGGAGTGTATCATCAATGTATACAGCCACAATTGACACCTTAGATCCAGAATTCTTAAAAAATAAAGAGTAATCATTTAGTGAATGAGAGTACCCTTTGAAATTCAAAGTTGTTGTGAGTCGAGCATACCATTGTCGTAAAGCTTGACGCAATCCATAAAGAGATTTTTTTCAAAAGGCATACATGATTTGGTGAAGGTGGTTGCATACCAGCTGGAAATCTCATGTAAACTTCTTCTTGTAAATCTCCATGTAAGAAAGCGTTGTTGACATCTAGTTAGAAAAGCTCCCAGTTTTTCTTAACTGCAATTGCCAATAAACATCGTATGGTTATCATTTTCACCACTGGTGAAAATGTTTCATTGAAATCAATTCCTTCACATTGAATGTCTCCCCTAACCACCAATCGTGCATTTAGCCTTTCTACTCTTCCATTTGAATTATAGTTTACCTTGTACACCCACTTACAAGGCAAAGCTTTCTTTCCTTTCGACAACTCCACTACTTCCCAAGTCTTATTTTGTTCTAAAGCTGCAAATTCTATAGCCATAGCTTCTAGCCATCCTGGGTATAAAGCAGCCTATGAATAGGAAGTTGGCTCTAAAATATGTATTACAAAATTGAGTATATTCTGATTGGTGAGAGTTAAGACTGCAATAGGTAGAAGTGTGGGAGAAGGAGGTGAAAGAAAACAAGAATCTGTGTGATCAGATAAAATTACGTTGTTGCAGACATAATCACTTAGATAAGATGGAGTTTGATGAGGCCGGTTGGATCTCCTAAGTATAGTATCCAACATTGGTGAAGCTGAAGGAGTATTAGGTAGATGTTGGATATGAGTAGGATGGAAAGAACTAAGGGAGTTTTGTGATTCTGTCTCTGAAAGTTCCGAATGACCTGGATGTTTGGGAGAGGTAGGATCTGGAGGAGATTGATTATGTGTAATGATGCAGGGAGATGGAGTGTATGTGTTATTGACTGGAAACATGAGAGGATCAATCTGAGATGAAAAAGGAAAGACATGTTCATAAAAGATCAACATTTCTAGACACAAAACACTTTTTAGATTGAAAGTCGAGCAATTTGTAACCCTTCTTTCCAAAAGGGTAACCCAAGAATACGCAAGGCACAGATCTAAGGTCTAATTTAGACCTTTATTGTGATAGAGTGGAAGCATAGTATAAACAACCAAAGACTCTTAAAGAAGAATAATCAGGCAACTTTCCAAACAACTTCTCATAAGGTGTTTTTGAATGTAGAACTTTGGAGGGAAACCTATTAATAAGAAAAGTAGTTGTAAGAAGGCAATCTCCCCAATAGGAAACTGGCAAATGTGATTGAAAAAGAAGGGCTCTACATGTTTCAAGTAAGTGTCTATGTTTCCTCTCTACAACCCCATTTTGTTGAGGGGTAGCCACACAGGTTGTTTGGTAGATAATGCCTTGTGAAGAAAAAAAATGTGATGTTGAGCTGCTAAAACCTAGCTCAAAAGCATTATCCGACTTTACTATTCTAACTTTTGTGTTGAATTGTCTTTCAACCATTGCCAAAAAAAACTTGAGAATGGTAAAGGCATTACTTTTGGTACTAAGAAGGTATGTCCAAGTTCCTTTACTGTAGTCGTCAACTATATTTAAAAAATACTTATACCCATCATGAGTGCTTTGTTTATAGGGTCCCCAAGTATCTACATGTATAAGCTCAAAAATAGAAGTAGATGAGATTGCACTGGATTAAAATGGCAATTTAGTTTGCCTTGCTGGCTTACATACTTGACATGGATCATGTATTTGAGATAAAGAAGCATTTGGAATAACTCAAAGTTTATTCATGTTTGAAAAAGGCATACGCCCCAAACGTTTCTGCCAAAGGCTTACATCAGTGGATCCTTTAAAAAGACTAGAAACTGAATTGGAAATTGCAACATTTACTGGCTGCTTACAATTGACCTTAAACTGAGAAAAACCTTGATTTCTATCCTTAGAACTAGACTGACTAGACTTCAAAATGTATAGACCTTTCTTGACTTCACCAAGAACCAGAAGCTTTTTCATTGAAGGGCCCTGCATTATAATACCATATGAAGAGAAAATTAGCAGACAATTAAATTGATTACACAACTTCTGAATAGAGAGAAAGTTGTATCTGAAACTTGGAACATATAAGACATTTGAAAGAATGAGATTCGGAAAAAATCCTGACATTTCCCCAATATGTAACTTTTATCTTGTGTGAGTTAGGTAAGCTAATGTGTAAAGGTCTGTTTACTGGCTTTATATTAAACATGATTGATGCATCATATGTCATGTGTTCTGATGCACCTGAATCTAAACTGTTACTTCTAAGATATTACTTTTAACACTTGAATAAGCTTCATTCAGTCCCATGAGGAACTAAATCAGCCTTCCATCTTGGTAAGATTTGAGTGACTTAGCTTTACCATCACATGAGCATGTACAACTACAATGAACACAAGTGTTCAGGGTATCCAATTCATCCCAAATTTTCTTTACTTTTGTGTAGTACCCTGGTACATCTGATGAACCTTGAGTTAAATCACTTAACTCTTTTTGTAGTTGATATAGTTGAGCCCCATTATATTGGCCAAATCTATCCTCCAATTCTGTCTAAAGATCCTTAGCAGTCTTTGAATAAATAACACTCTCTGCTATCTCCTTGGAGAGTGAGTTGAGCAGCCAAAAAATCACCATGTCATTGCACCGATTCCAAGCTTGTGAAAGAGTTGAAGTGCCTGCTGGTTCAACGAAACTTCCATCAATGAAGCCTATTTTATTATTAGCAGACAAAGCAATGAGAACTCCTCTTCTCCATCCAGCATATCCTTTTCCATCAAATATGAAATTTACCAGGAGCATCTCTGGAGAGTCGGAAGGGTGAAGGTAATAAGCATGAGTGGAGTCAATCACAATAATACTCCCTGAATCAAGGGTAGAGGTCTCCTCTGTGGTAGATCCCATGATGAAGAGAGCAAGAAAGGAGATTGAGAATGAAAAATAAAAAAAAATCGCAGAAACCTAAAACATGAACATTGCTCTTGATACCATATTAAAACACAGAGATAAGGAAATTTCTGATTTTACTTTCTTGAATCAAAAGTGCTGTACAAAGTAGTGTATTTATTCGGTAATAATAAAAGATGAAATCTCTTGAATACTCGAATGCCTATGAGCAACCCATACTAGTGGATTTGTTTAATTTTGTCTAGTACTATGTACTATTTTTTGTTAAAAGTAGTGTCATATTCTTTCTTGCCGTTGGAGGATGTGAAGCATGTGAGAATATCATCATATTCTGTCGGGTCATTTTCCCTTACTTTATCCACAAATCCATTCAACTTCCCAATATAAGTTTTCACATCAATATCTATACTAAAGATATTGGGCCAGATGAACACGTCATCGAAGCTCTGGATCTGCTCCT